TGGTGGCCAACAAGGAGCATCAAAGTGCATAGTTGGGATTCGTCGTAGCACTGTAATCAGTGCATGTGATTTCATCACATGGCTAAATTAAATCCCAACTTGTCTGAAAGATGCTTTTTGCAGTAAAGAGCTGATATACGATCTAATTGAAAAGTTAATATTACTCTTATATGTAATATTATTTTACGTATTTATTAATTTTTTAAAAATTAATTTTATTGATATTCTTACAATAATAATCAAATGGGAGAGAGAGAAAGAAAATTAAGGAGTATGCTTAAGGTGTTTTAGAAAAAAAACATATCATATTAACTAATTTAAATAATATCTTTAATATATTTAAATTAGTTAATCAGATTCTATATTAACGACCGGAAAGTACTTTTAATTGAGCTCCTGGATGATCAAATAGAACTTAACAGTAACCAATATCAAACAATTACATTTTTTTCCCCGTAAAAAAGTAAGTATACTTGTTTTCTATTGATACCAAGGAGAAAAATAAAGTTTTCCGACCACTCTCTTGGACGTAAATTGACCATCCTGTGTCCAATTATTTTTTAAGGAAAAAAATTGTTCTAATTGTTTTGCGTAAAAGAAAGAGAATGATAAAAAAAACACAAGAAAATTGATGAGACATACACACTGATATACGGTAAATTTTCATGTGAGTTCAGAAGTTCAGTTCCCCCGCTCCGGCTTCTCTCCTTTACCACTCCATTCCGCTGCCTCTCTGCTACCATAAAACAATGAAGTTACAAATCATATTTTTTTAAAGTTTATTTTTTGCCAGCATATTTTTTTAAGATTCATGTGTTAATATTTAGAAAAAATTTAACAATAATTAATATGTTATCTTTATATAGTAACCGATTCAGTATATGGGATAACGATTTTTCCTAAAATATATCTAAGCTACTTTAAATAGAAGTGGTGTCGGCGATTTTATAATTATTAAAAGAATTAAAAATGAAAAAGAAAACAGAAAAAGTGACGGTGATTTCATACATCTCTTTTATGTACAAACTAAGCTACTTTGAGTTGAATAATTGAGTGTAGTTTACTTTTTAAAATTAGTGATTAATTGATTCAGTACATGAGATAAGTAGATTACTGAGAGTTAATTGAGGAATTTTATTATTTATCTGTTGGGGATATTTTCAAAATAAATGCATTAACTATTGTTAAATTTTTTCTAAAGTGTCTTAGATATTAAAATATAAACGTTAAAAAAATATGTTAGCAAAAAATATACTTTAAAAAATATGATTTACAACTTTATTCCTAATTTTTATTAAACGCGGGTTAACTATTTATTTTCACTTTATTTGTTAGGGGACACTTGTTTACACCTGTCAGCAGAGGGCTATTGCTATTCTCTCCCTCATGCGTCTCGCTTCTCTACTCTACCGCTGCCATATGACGATGACTTTTTTTTTTGAGTGAAAAGGGGAATTCATTAAATACTCCTCCGGTTCTTAATATAGGACCCTTTTGACTATTTTGATTAAATTAAGGATGGTAGTTAAGTTAGGTAATAAATATAGATATCCCAAAATACCCTCGGTTTACACTTCTAAAAAGAAACTGACATTTGAAAAAAATTAGTCTGGTTAACTCGCCTCCTCCGATACCAACGTCGTCCAAGTTCTCCTGGCTCACGCACCGTCTGATACCAACGTAGTTACGTTTTCTGTTTGATTGGGTAAAATATAAATAGAAGATTATATTTTCTAGGCACAAAGAAAGTAGATAGTATGATTATTATTATGCTATTCCTCGGAGGTAAAAAAATCCAATTACCTTGAATGGGTATTTGTATGAAAATATTTTTTTTAAATGTTTAAATTATTTTATTAAAAATATAAAATGGTAGAATTGATGTTTGTGTGGAATCAATAAGTAATAAGTATTCATTCACTTTATAAAATATATAGGTGTATTATTAATGAATAATGAGTATTATTGTGGTATTTAATTATCTAATAGGGGTAATTTAGGAAAGAATGAAAAAATATGAAAAAGGGGTTCTATATTTAGGACCAAGATCGACCTTCTAATTGGGTCCTATATTAAAGACCGGAGGAGTAACAAATATGTACAAGAGATTGCAAGTTGGCACATATGACGATGACTTTCCGCTGGCTTTCCTCCGCTCTCTGCATGCAAACGGCACCATTTCCGGTAAAATGAGGAGAGAACTGGAATAAAAAAATAGGACGAAGAGGATTTCGCAAATGGATAAAGGGTGTGTTTGGATGAAACCAAACCGTGGTTTGGAAAAGTGATTCTGGAGAATAGATTCTGGAAAAAATAGATTATGTGAAGAATAGATTTTGTAAAAAAGTGATTCTGAGAAGTGAGAGTGTTTGGATAGTTGTTATCAGAAGCACTTTTTATATATACAAATTACTAAAAAAAAGACATAAGTTAATATGATAATTACAGAAAAAATAGATTTTATGATATATTTTAATTTGAAGAAATAAAATTGTTAATAATATGTTTTTTACCAACATAATTAATAATACATAAGATAATATAATTAATAAATAATTAATGTCTATATATATTTATAAAATATAAGATTAAATATATTTATAAAAAAATATATTTATAAAAAAATAACAAGATACATATCATATAGGCCCCCACACTCTCCCTTTTTTCTCCAAAAGCAAAAAAATTTTGCTTTTTCCAAAACCATGGTTTTGGAGTCAAAACCATGGTTTTGACCCAAAACCATGGTTTTGGTTTTTGGAGAGGCTGTTTGGGTAGCATTTTCCCCAAACCATGGTTTGGGGTGCTATCCAAACAGAGCCAAAGGCAAAAAGTTCAAGTGAGAGGAGGAATAACCATACATCCTTATTTGTGGGACCCACCCACCTCCAAAACAGTTTTAAAAAAATCAATTAAATATCTTTTTCTTTATCAATTAGAAAAAATAGAAACCTTAGCCATTCTTTCACATCAGTTTTTCAGTGATGCATATTTTTATATCTGTATCTGGCCAAAAAATTTTTTTTTTTATATCTGTATCAATATTGTGCATGCTCTTAGTGAAGGGAAAAAAAATTAAATGCAAATACTTTTTCATTCTATAAGCTTGGAAACTTTAAACCATTATCACATGTCAGGATTAAATTTGATTAATTTAAGATTAATTAATTTTACCGTGATAATTAGTTTTAAAAAATTATTATTCAAATTTTAAATATTAAGTTTTCGAAAAATTTCTTTTAAATAATTTATTTTTTATTGAAAAAGATGAACCAAATGGTTGCTTGCTTTATAAGCCGATAATCATCGACGAAATTTAAAAATGACTGTCGACATAAAATGATACTCCTCCTGTCTTTAATATAAGATCCATTTAACTAATTTGATTATATTAAGAAAGTTAGGTAAGTTAGTTAATTATATGAAATATGACACGTTTTTCTTAAAACACCATAATCATCTTTCTTAATACCTCTCTCTCTCTTCTATTTGATTATAGTTGAGGGAGTATCCATAAGAGTAATTTAAATAAAATTGATAAATATGAGAAATGTGTCTTATATTTAAGATCAAAACTAACTCAATAATTGGATCCTATATTAAGAATCGGAGGAGTAATAACTTTGGAAATATAAAAATATGCATCACTAAAAGACGGATGTAAAATAAAAGTTGAGGTTAAGGTGCATACAGTATTATGAAATATTTTTTTAGGTACATCTATCACATTAAGGTAATTTAATGGTACATCTAGCATTCTGAAATATTTTTTTAGATGCGCATAACACCCTAAAGTATTTTTAATGTAATTTTGCACTTAATAATTTACGGTATTCGATGCACTAAGAAATAATTTTGGGTGTTGGAAGTATCTAAAAAAATATTTTAAGATGCTTAACGTATCAAAATATAATTTAGGGTACTAGATGTAATTGAAAAAATATTTCAAGATGTTAGACACATAACAAAATAATTTAAAATACTAAATATATGTGGAAAAGTATTTCAAGTTGCTGTACACATCTTAACCTTAAAGCTAAATTTTCTCTTTTTTCTGTATTTGTCTTATTAATGAGATTTTTTGAAAAAATGTTTCGGAGGTGGGTGGGTCCTACAAATAGGAATGAATAGTTACTCCTCCTCTTGCTTGAACTTTTTTGTGTTTATCCACTTGCCAAATCCTCTTCGTCCTATTTTTTCATTCCAGCTCTCTCCTCATTTTGCTGGAAACGGTGCTGTATGCAATCAACGGACAGGCAGCGGAGGATTAGCACAGCGGAGGAAAGCCAGACCCCTTTTTTCCGGGCGTTTTACGGCCTTGAGAGTCCGGCCTTTTGGAACAAGAAAATACGGTAAAATGATTTCCATTTTCAAAACTATGTCGTAATATTTCATGAGAGGAGTATTTAAAATCATTTCTCATTCTTAAAATTATTTTTCATTTTTCATTCATTTTATTATCACTTCGCAAATTGAACAGCCATGTAGAACTGATGGCGATAAGCACGAATGTTCCCTTTGGTGCAATATATTGTAGCCGGAAAAAAAAAGAAAGAATGGATTGCTGAGCATATAACTATCCCATCTAATAGAGCAAGACTAGCTGTTTTGTTTGTTTTGGCGCAATATAAAACCTAAGTTTATCCGACCTCGGTGAACGATCAAGAAGAGATAACAAGCAGCAAGTAATGTAACTAATCCTTCCACAAACATTGCCTAATCAATCTTCATCCCAAAAACGAAATACTTCTGAGATTTCATATTTCGAAAAACCCATTTGAGGAGAGGGGTTGGTAAACGTTAATCTACTTCTTCAGAACAACAGGAATTTTATATAAAATGCTTTTCCAAAAAGCACTTTTGGACTTTCATACGAAAAACCATCCAGAAAGCCACTAAAGCGTGTACGTTAAAGCATTGATGGAGGCAAAAGATGAAGGACATGGGGTGTGACAAAAAGATGGGGTAGGTGGGGGTAGGAAAGCATAAGCAGGCCGTGATTTTTAACTTCAGAAAGTAGAGGCTGTATATTAAAGCACCTGAAAAATAAAGAAGTGGACCAAAGCAACAATAAATAAATAGATAATTAATTTCCCAACATAGGAAGGATCTACCATTCACACCCAACGAGTAGCAGATGTAAAATAATAACAATAGAAGCACTACTGACATAGTCATTGACAAGATTAACTTCCTGAGTCATATTGGCTGCTTGAAGAATGTCTCCCCGCAGAGCGTTACATTAAGAACCACAGCATGCAGATTTTTGGGCAGCTTGAGCAGCTCCTGCTCCCTGGTCTGGTTGGTTAATCTTGATCGTCTGAGGCTGCAAACAATCAAGTGGAAAACTTAAATGATGAGTGACATGGTAATTAAATCTCGTCGATTGATCCAAAATGCACCACCAAAAATGGTCTAAAACGAAGTCAAATGATAGTCTCAAAACATGGGAAGCAGTTAAAATAAAAACCTCAGCCTTAGAGTCACTATCTGCAAGTCTTTGTTTGATGTCCCGAGCTATTGAAAAGAAAACCTCCTCCACATTCAAATTAGTTTTCGCACTCTGTAAAAACCAAACCCCAGCATCACATCAAGATCAACAAATACATGCGTGCAAGTTCAACAAGAGCAGTAAAAGCAACTTACAGTCTCAAAGAACTTTATGCCATATTCATCTGCCAGGGCTTGACCTTTTGAAGTTGGTACAGCCTAAGGAAAAGAATTGGAAATTAACAGGAGCACAAAAAGCCGTATATGTGCATGACATGCAGGTACAAGCACACCCCGAAAGACAGAGAGTAGGGAGTAAGGGGACGGACCCTTTTGCTTTCATCCATATCAGCCTTGTTACCCACCAGTATCTTGTTAACATTGTCAGAAGCATGCTGCTCAATGTTGCGAATCCAATTCCTAATGTCTGGACATGAGACCAGTCAAATTGCCACTTAGAAGAACTTAAAATCCATTCAAAGCGGTGGATGTTACCCAAAATGGTCAACTTGAAGAGCTGAAGTTTAAAAAACATAGTACATTTCTATCAACACACACAGATTTGAAGGGAAAACTAAAAGAGGAAGACGAAATTACTGTTAAAAGATGACTCATCAGTGACATCATACACCAGCAAAATGCCCATGGCTCCACGGTAATAAGCTGCAAAAGAAGAATTAAATACTCGTGACAAAAGCTTAACAGTTTAGATATATGGAAGGATAACAGAATTATGGAAGCTAATGGTTATGCAAACGTGAAAGATAAAGCATCAGTTATTCAGTTACATTCCTGAAAAGCATACAATGTTAAAATAAAACCAAAAAACATTGTGAGGATTTATGCTCTTAGAAATCATGTGATTGTGGAACGACACTGAAGATTGAAATATTAAAATAAGCCCAATACCCAGAATTTATCACCAAAACCTGGGGCAGAATATGTGAGTGTATACACACAAACGCCTCCAGATACAGTCAGATAAATGAAGGATGTTCAATGATGTCAGAGGCACTCAACTCAGCACCTAGGGCACCATTCATGACCAACACCTCTCACATCATGAAAGGTGCCACCTTCAATACGGCATGGGAATCGACACTTTTTCTGTAGTTCCAGGCTTGCCCTTTCAGGGCTTTAATGTTTGAAGGCTACAAGAAAAGTGTCAGCTCAAGAAAACCCAATCCAAAAATATAAAATTGTAATAGGATAAAATGGGAAGCTATGAAATCCAACCTTAGAAGCCAAGCCAAGCCCAAACTCAAAGACTTAAGACAATGGGATAAAATAGTTATTCTTATTTCGAAAGATTATATATGTGCGTATTTTTCCAGATTTATGTCAAATTTTTTCCATATTAACATGGATCTATTATATATATATATATATATAAATTACTTTAGCACCTAGTACTTGGCCATGCACCCTTTTTTACATATTAAAGTTCTGACATCTTAAGGTAAGGGCACTTTTGCCTTTGACTTCCTTGAGCATGCCATCTGACGAAGCCATAAATCAGTTAGAAACTTGATATTTTCATTCTCTTAGTTTCTCTCTATCAGCAATAGCCAACAGATACTTACTACAATCAAGGAGAATAAAATTTATCTCGTGTTATCTAACAAGTTGTCAAGTTCCACCAACAAAAGCACCAACTGAAAAACCTCCTCAATATGTGACAATTACAATCACCAAAAGCACCCAAATATCTATTCCAAGAGACTTATTCAATTGGAACTGAAGAAACAAGGTCATCAATCTTATTGCCATCCTGGTAATGATAGGAAAAAGAAAAGTAGCCTCTAGTTAAATAGAAGTTTGTTTAACAACTAACATTTCAACACAACAAATTCAAAATGAACTAACTTCCTATTAGTAACAGTTCTAAACTACTTTTCACTCATACACCTACTAAGACCTAACAACACTTATATAGTCCATTACAAAAGTTTAAGCTAGATATAAACAAAGGGATTATATCACAACATCAGTTACATATATTGAATAAGGCTTTTAATCTCAAACACTGACCAGTTGTAATTGTTCGAAAACGCTCTTGTCCAGCAGTATCCCATATTTGCAATTTAATTCGCTTGCCATCAAGCTCTATTGTCCTTATTTTGAAGTCAATGCTGAAGAAAAAAAATCCCTTCCAGTATTCAATTAACAGCTTCTCACAATGAGAAAGAAACGACAGCAGAAAGATGATGAAGGTGATTAGAGGGGGGAAAAAAAAAGGGTCATACCCGATGGTCGTAATGAAACTGGTTGTAAAAGATCCATCTGAGAAACGCAACAGGATGCAACTCTTACCTACACCTGCCAATATGAACAAAGCAATCAGATTCAATGAAAACTCCACAATATATGTTTCCCTAATTGATAAATGCAGCAAGTACAGAGAGAGTCTCAAGAGCCACCACTGTTTTATAACCTCCAAATCAGTAATCAGTAGGAGAGTTATAAGCAGCTACTGTAATTCCATTGCCAATAAGATTTTACCTCCATTTACGACGAATAATTTTTTATGACTGCCGCACTATAGTTGAAGGGTGAAGTCATACAATATAATGCAGTGAACAATGAACAGTGGTAGGAACGATTTCGAGATGCAAATCACAAAGAAGGATGCGTCGACCATTTTTAAAAAAATGAAGAAGCTGCGGTTGCCAACAAAACAGGTGGATTGTTACATTCTCTTGCATGACGCAGTCACAAATCACATCCCAGTGAAAATGCATGGCAAATGGTTAAATCAGGAGCAAACAATGCCCTAATCGTTCTCATATCCATGATCGCAATGTAATTAGGGCAGAGGGAAGGAAAGGGAAAACATCCAGAGAATAACATAGTAACTCAACCATTAAAAAAGAATTGGATCAAATCTCGGCAGAAGAATGCAAAGTTTTCCCACACTAACCAAACATATCAATCCATGGAACGCAAATTCAAAGGACTCAAAGAAAAAGGACGGGAAATCTTACCGCTATCGCCGATCAGGAGGAGCTTTATGAGATAATCGTAATCCGCTCGGGCTCTAGCAGGTGGAGCAGCCATCGAAATTAATGCGACGAGAAAGAAAGAAAACCAACCTATACCAAGATGCTTCAGTTTGTAAGTGGAGAAATGATGACAGCAAGAGAAATTGGAAAATGAAAGCGATGATTTTATCCAATACTTACGGAGGAAAGATCAGTAAAAGAAAGACCAAAAAAATAAATAAAGGGAAAATACCAGATCAAGAAGAAGAAAGGAGGAGGTTGAGATCTGAGGAGAAAAAGGAGAAGGCGGGGGGAAAGCGTCCCTGATACGTCAGCACCGGTCGGCCGTTGAAAAGTGTAATTGGAAAAAGGATTTTGCTTTGGGTCTCTTCCCTTATCAAGCACCCGCCTGAGTACCGTTTGCCGTTAGATTATTTCCCTTGCTGTGATTGGCGTCCATTACTGTTCCCCAATTATTTTGCCCCCGATAACAAAGAAAACAACAAAAAAGAACCCCGTGAACGGCGCTTGAGGAGGCGTTAAGTTTGGTGGATGCTATGCTTCAAAACGACGCCATTTTAGATCGTTTGTCTTTTACGGGTAATAAAATCCAAGCTGTTTCTTGAATATTTGCAATTAAGTTAATATCGTTTTAATATTTTTATAAAATAAATATGTTTTCATGAATAACATTAAAATTAAAAATGTTTAATATTTCTTCAGTCCTTCATATAATACTTAATTATTGAGTTAATTTTAATCTTAAATTTAAAATCTATTTATTATATTTATTAATTTTTACTGAAAGAGTTTGTCGTGATATATGATATGTTCAATCAGTATTTCAAATATCATTGATTCCAATAAAAATCATTAAAAAAGGCTATACATCAAGCAAAAAATTAAAGATCTTTTTTCGTACAAAAAAAAGTTTAAAAGTTACTATTGGTTAATAAAATGCTCATGGCAGTCATTGGAGAAAAACGTTCATGACAGTTTAATGAGATACTACCTTGTCTTTAATATTAAAAATAGTAAACCAATTTAGGTAGATTAAAAAAATTAGTTAAATTAATTGTTTGTAATAAATAAGTGTTGTTTTTTTAAAATACCCTTGTTAATTAAGTACTACCTCCGGTTCTTAATATAATATCTCGTTTGACTTTTATTTTGGTCCTAATTATAAGATTCCAATTCACTTTGTCTTTCATATTTATACTTTTCTTCTAAGATAGTCTCTCTAATAATGATAGTTCTAGCTAATAAACTTGATTAGTAAGGATATTTTATGAAGAACAACACTTATTTATTACAAATAAATAACTTAATTTATTTCCTTAATTTTCTGAACTAGCTCTTATAATTAAGACCGAAAGTAGTATCATTTAATGAAATATTTAACATGTACAACTATTATAAAAATTATATTAAAAAAAATAAATATAAGATACAAAATGAATTATACTCTTATATCTATGATTAAATTAAAAGTGAAACAAGTATTAAGGACAGTAATATTTTTATTCTCGGCTCTTTATTAAATCAGGAAACGAAGAGAATATGGGCACACTGCATATGCCCCTCTATTGTTCGTTTATTGTTATATTAATAATTAATACAACCTCCAATTTTTAATATAATAACTAATTGACTATTTTGAATAAATTAAGAAAATTGGTTAAATTAGTTATTTTTAATAAATATATATTGTCTTTCATAAAATATTATTATTTAGGTGTATTGGCTAATACGGTTATTATAATAACTATCTTAAAAAAAATAGATAAATACTACCTTCGGTCCTTAATATAAGACACTGTTTAGTTTTTATTTTGATTCTAAATATAAGACCCCAATCCACTTTGTCTCTCGTGTTTATGTATTCTTTTCAAGGTAGTCCTTCTAATAATTGTAGTTCTAGCCAATATAATTGATTAGTAAAGGTATTTTAGAAAAGATAACACCTATTTATTACAAATAACTAACTTGACTTTTTTTTCTTAATCTCCTCAAATTAATCAATTGGGTCTTATAATTGGGGTTAGAGGTAGTATAAGAGATAAAGTAAATTTGGTTTTTATATTTAGAATTAAAATAAAAATTAAACAAATTCTTATATTAAAAATTAGAAATAGTAGTAGTTAATTGTTCTTCTTTCTCCCAATTCCCCTTATGTAGTCCCTCTTTCCCCCGTCTATTGCTCTTCTTGCCCTCGTTTCCTCTGCATTCAGAATCAAAGCACTAGCCAAGGTTTCAGATTGATTTTGCCAGCTGAGATTTGATATTCTGTTCGGAGACTACAAAACTGTCCTCCCCTACCTCAGTGTATGATCCCTCTTAACTCTCCGTGCTCCGATGGCCTATGCTTCTGCGACGAAGGTAAAAATCGTATGATCACATGATTCTGGTGGTGGGTATGAACACACGTGCTAAATATAAAAACTAATTGATAAAAACTACTATTCTTGTCCTTAATATAAGACTTATTTAACTAATTTGATCAGATTAGAGAAGTTAGATAAGTTAGTTAATTATAAGAAATATGATACGTTTTTCCTAAAATACCATAAGCATCTTTCTTAATATCTCCTCTTCCTCTTCTACTTGATTATGGTTGAGAGAGTATCCATAGGGGTAATTTAAAAAAATAGATAAATATAAGAAATAGATCTTATATTTAGGACCAAAATCAACTTAACAACTGGGTCCTGTATTAAGGATCGGAGGAGTAATTTATAGTGCAATTAATTTTTATATTTAGAGACAGAAATAGTATATACTGCATTCGATCCTTAACATAAGACTTTGTTTGATTTTTATATTGGTTATAAATATAAGACCCCAATCTACTTTATCTTTCATATCTATCTATTTTTGTCCAATGTAATTCTTCTAATGATGATAGTTCTAACCAATACACCTGATTGGCAGTGACATTTAAAAAAAAACACACATATTTATTACAAATAATTAATTTAATTTACTCTCTTAATTAACTCAAATCAGTCAACAAGCTCTTACATTTAGGACCGGAGGTAGTATTACGTGAACCTTCTCTTTCTTCCTTATTTTATCGAGGGATTATTTGAAATTGATTATATTAAGCGCTTATAAATACATTTACTCGGTGATATACTTCGTATTTCACAAGCCACAATTGAAAAGTTATTTTCAAGGAAGAATTACAATCAAGTCCTATGCAAGACAAATAACTACTAAAAGATCCAATAATAACCTGAGCAGCTTGTAATAACAAGTTCTGGAGTGGAGAATAACAACCTCTAGAACTTGTTTTGTAATTTTTTTCCTTGTATGGGACCTTATTACAATTCTCTTTATTTTTAAATACTTATATTACCATTTCAAACAAGCTCTCAGATCTCATTTGATACAAAGCATTGAAAATAAAAGATAAGTATTAGAGTTGAGATTGAAAAAAGAAATCATTAAAAACTATTTAATATGAGTAATTTCTTAATTCTTATTATATGAGATTGTCCTAATCCCATATAGGTGGGATTGGAACCAATCCCACATAAGTAAGATTAGAGAATACTACCCTTTTAATGGTATTTTTCAATTTCACATATATAAGTTTACTCAATTCCAAACAACAAACACTAAACACTTTTTTTATATTTTTTTTTATCTCAATCCCAACATCTACCTTATTTTAATGTTGTATACCAAACAGGAATTAAATTTATCTTTCAAAGTACCCGGTCCCATTGAGATGTGATAAAATACAAGTTGAAAAGTGCATTATCAGCTTTTTTATCGGGCTGGAATCAAACTCAATCCTCACGAGTAACAGAAGGACCAAATTGATCATAATAACTATTCACAAGGAGATAGTCATTTATCACAAAACTGCCAAACGCACAAATTCCCCCCCCCCCCCCAAAAAAACTCAAAGCTCTCAATTTGATAAAGAAAAAACCTCTAAATTTTATATATCTCAAATTAAGAATAACTATAAAGATATGTTATTATTTGTTTTCTAAATATTATCAATTAGTATTAAAGTGTACTAAACAAAACTGATTTAAAATTTTAAAATTAAAATACATTTTTTTTGGGATTCTCCCATTCATAAGCTGCCATGAAACCCATATGCTATTATTACCAATCCTTAATTTAGAACATTGGATTCTACAAGTAAACCCTCAATTTACCTTATCTATTTGTTATTTTTTAAATTAATTTATTTGACATACAACTTAACATATACTCTAATATATTACATAAAAGCATTTTAGAAAGATCATTTTCTCACCACTAACTATTTTATTTAAGTTTCTTAATTTATTTAAATTAATTAAATATTTTTTAAATCTATTTAATTTTTTTGCTAGATAATTTATTTAAATTAATTAACGTTTGGTTTTGATAACAAATATCTGGCGGTGCTGCGGGATTGCCTGCACATACATATAAAGCCACAAACCCTCGTTTCCGTTCCCTCGCAGTGAAGTTCAGAGGCCGCTATTTCTTAAACCCTCCTAAAAACTTGCCTCACATCTTCGGTCTCGTCTACTCGAGTCGAAACCCGTGTCAAGCACCATGAGTTCCTTCTCCAATACCGCGAACTTTGACAATCTTCTACTGCAATCTTTGATGGGCAGGCTTCAGCTACGCCCTTCCAACAATCCTATGCTCTCTCAATCCCTCGAGGACCTTCTTTTTGACGCTGCCAACAATCTATCCGATGACGATGAGAATGATGAGAATAAATCCCAGCTCGCCAAAGAAGAATCCAAGCTCGAGAAGGAGATCATCCGGGTGATTCTCTCTGGCAAGACTGATTCGCTCAAACCTAACTCGGGGCAGGCCGTCACAATCGGCGAGCACCACATCTGCGTCGGATTTCACGAGGAAAAGGGTTCCGATTATCGGGTGTGGGAGTGGCACGGCCACATAATGTTGTTTGATGAAGAAAACGGCTATACGCCAGAGTATATATATGGGAATTACTTCGAGAGGTTGCTGTCAAAGGCAGGGAGTGGTGTTGAGGAAGTAGACTGTAAGGAGGAGGAGAAGGAAGAGAAAGTGGGGAATTTGGGGCTAAGGGAATTAATTGATGGCGGAGATTCGAGCGGCGGTCGCATCCTGCATCGAAACATGAACGTTGGTTCCCCAAGGTTTGCTTAGAATCCCTCTCCTCATCATTGCCAAAATAAAATAATACTGCTAGCCAGTTTGTTTCTTTTCCCTTTTTTTTTTTCCTTGGGAAAAACATTTTCGCTGTCGAGCTTTTAAATTTATCAGATTGAGGTTTCGTTGTCCAGACTCTAGTTCATCGGAATTTGTTTTGCATAGGATCCTAAGAGATTGGATCATTTTTTTGGAGCATACACTTGC